GTGGACTTGTTTTCATTTTCTTCAGCTTCAGTTTGAATTTGCATATGAGTAATTGATGGTCTGTTCCACAGTCTGCCTTTGGCCTTGTTTTGACTGATGATGTGGAGCTTTTCCAAGGTCTCTTTCTGCAGATATAGTCAGTTTGATTTCTATGTGTTCCATCTGGTGAGGTCCATGTGTATAGTCATCTCTTATGCTGTCCAAAGAAGGTATTTGAAATGAACAAATCATTGATTTTTCAGAATTCTGTCATGTGTTCTCCAGCATCATTTCTATCACCAAGACCATATTTTCCAACTACTAATCCTTCCTCTTTGCTCCCAACCTTTGCATTCCAATTGCCAGTAATGATCAGTACATACTGATTGCATGTTTGATCAATTTCAGATTGAAGAAGTTAGTAGAATTCTTCTATTTCATCCTCACTGGCTTTAGTCCCTGTAGGCGCATGTATATTATTATCCTATCACAGATAGCGTTGTACTTCATGACTGATCTGGATATGTTCTTTTTGACAATGAATGCAACACCATTCCTCTTCAGTTTGTCATTTCCGGCATAGTAAACCATGTGGTCATTAGATTCAAAATGACCAATACCAGTACATTTCAGCTCACTAATGCCTAAGATATTGATGTTTATGTGTTCCATTTCATTTATATATAGTAGTTCATTTGTTTAACAAATATTTACAGGGTATCTACTGTTGTTGTTGGAGTCCTAGTATGGCTCTGTAGGTTAATGTGCTGCATCACAAGGTCAATTTGAACTGCAAGGTCAGTGGTTCAAGCTCACTACTCACTCCTTGGAAACCCTATACAGGGTTGCTATGGATCAGACCTGACTTGACGGCACTTCACAACAACAACTGTTGTTAAGTTTCTTCAAACTTGTAGTGAACCCATGTGATAGAACAGAACTGTCCCATAGTTTTTTGGTTGTAATATTTATGGAAACAGATTGACATGTTTTTCTCCCATGGTGCCACTGTTGGGTTCCAACTGCCAATCTTAATTAGCATCTAAGCACTTAACCCTTTGCACCACCTGGGTTTCTTAGGATATCTATGTGAAAGAAGTATTATGAGAATTTGGGATACATTTGCAAACAAAACAGACAAAAACCCTTGACTTCAAGTAATTTTGGGGAGACAAAGTAAGTATTGTACAGTACTAAGGGAAAAAGAAAAAGTAGTCGTGTGTTACAGATTGGCAGTTAGCAATTGGATGGGGGCTTGAAGACTGCATTGTGGACAGAGTAGGCAGGCAGCATTATGGAGTAAGATTTGAGAATAAAAACGAAGTGAGAGTTAAACAAGTAGAGGCATACCTTAAAGATAGTGCCAGCTCACAGATCACCACAATATAGTGAAATTGCATGTATTTGTTTCCCAGTGCATAGAAAAGTTATGCTTATATTGTATTGTAGTATATTAAGTATGCAAAGTTTGAAATATTGTAAGAATTAACAAATTGTGACACAGACACAAAGTGAGCACATGCTTTTGGGAAATGGTACCTATACTCTTGCTCAATGCAGGGCTGCCACAAACTGTCAATTTGGTGAAAAAAAAAAAAAAAAAAGTATACGTCTGTGAAGTGCAGCAAAGCCAAGAGTGGAAGACAGACCAGCTAGACCAATGGCACTTTAGGTCCGAGGATGTTTAGCTTGTTCCTAGTCTAGCAAGGAGGAAAGTGGTGGACGAAGAGGTTAGCAGTAATAAAGTCAGATCTTGTACAGTCCTATAAGGACTTTGACTTTATATGTAATGGGAAATCTTTGTAGAAGAGTGGCAGAATTAAGATGAATTGATGGATAAAAAGAGGAATGGATAGTTGAATAGCTAAGAGGGAGCTTCCAACGTTTGTGGCAAGATGAAATTAAAAGATAATGGAACTTTTTTGAAGGCCCTTCATATGTAGCATATAGTAGACAGGAACATATATGTAAGATCTAGTGATAAGTATATGATTGTTCATTGTTTAATTCTTTCAATTAAAGACTACAGCTGCCCCTCGAGATGGGTTTTTATCTTCTTCCGAAGCTAGCTGTGGGACAGGACTAGATTAAAAGGTGTACTTCAGGGTGCCAACTGGGTTGTCCTTTTTTAAGATCCCATAATCTCTCTTTGAAAAAAGGAACCATAGAAGAACGCAAAATGACTCTATAGACCAGCAAATAAGCTCTGCAATTTTTTGTCTTACCTTCCCTACATTCAGTTGCACAGGGTTCATGATGCCTTTGTCATTTGTTCAGACAGAATGTATTAGTAACTTTTACATGATATCAAAATAATTTGAAACCTGATAGTGACTTCTTAAAGTGAAGAACCACATTCCCTTTTCTTAAGAAAGAAAGCTATACTTGACATGATAAAATTCACCTAAACTTACTGAGTTCGTAATTGCAGGTAGGGCAAGACAGGAGGAATCTAGTCTACTGATATAGAAAAAGATGATTCCTTAGTGTCTCTTACACTTGAGTGCTTCATGAGAGATCTGAATTCATCCCCCTGACTCCCCAGGCCTCAGTCTTTGATCATCTGCCATATGTTGATTGAGCAAAACACTGAGGATTCAATCTAGTACAAAGAATAGAAGCTTGAAATTTAGTTAGGACAATATCATAAATGTATGAAAAATGAACTAATACAAGAATGAAGTTTTTGAGATTATAGAAAGACTTGGATTTGAACTAACCATCTTACACATTTCTGTAATACCATACTTCATAATGGAATGTAAGCCACGGTTGATAGGCACATTGTCGTCTTTTTCCGTTTTAGAGAAACATTTGAGACCTCTAGATCAGGTACCCTTTTATTTGTATTCAAGTAAAGACTCGAATTCTCACTCTGTCATATTATCTGGGTAAGCTTTTACAGACCTAAGAGTGGAAGTCATTTTTTAGACCCGGCAACTACTTTGAGGGAATTGGCCACTGAATACTCTGAACACTTCCTTAACATAAAACCTTAAGATATGTTGTCACAGAATTGATGCAGAGTGACCTACATAAAATTATCGTCTCTCCTCAACCACTCAGCTCAGATCATGTCAAAGTTTTTCTTTATCAGATTTTACGAGGTAAGATTGTCTTTATGAAGAAAAAAGTAGTGTCCATTGTATAAGTGAAATGTTGTGCTTTTCATGTAAACTTTTAACTCACCTGACCTCCCTTGATTTTATTTGTTTAAGCCTTTTATCTTTTGGTCAAGGTATGTTTAGTAATCATTATATTTGATGTTAAAGGCTACTTTTAAGGGTGAAGAAATGAATCCTGGTGTGGCTCTATAGGATAAGCCCTGAACTGCTAACCACAAGTTCAGCGGTTCAAAACCACCAGCCGCTCCTTGGAAAATCCTATACCGGTAGCTATAAGTTGGAACCAGCTAACAGCACTTAACAACAAATGCTATTTATTTACTTAGTGATAGTAGAGAATGCCCTAATTCTAATTAGACAGTAGATTAATAATTTAGGGAGGCAGGGAAGTAAATAGTAGGGATGGTTTGTCACTAAGATTCCACTAAGCAGCCTTTATTCTCAACAGAGCAGAAGCATGTGGCATCAGATGACTCATCTGAAAAGTAGCTGTATCTCCTATAGCTAACAACCATCCTACAAGCCTTGTCAGGCTGGTCTACCCAAATCCAACTCTAAAGAAACAAAATGACCCTTAAAACCAAAGCCGATGGAGGAAGGAGACTGGTAGAAAGACCACTGACTTGATTGAGAACTGATTTGGGCTGCTGTTGTTGGCACCTCTTCTGGCCACCAGTTGTGTCCTTCAGAATTTCACTGTTACAAATGGAGAATTGTTAATGCTGAAACAGTTTTCATCCCTAGTAAAATATTTTTCATGGAATTCATAGAGTTAAGTAAGACATTCCCTATAAAGATTGAAAAGCATCTCCCAAAAGAATTGAAACACGTAAGCAAAGCTAGAATGCATCACCTGATAAACTTGTTCATATTGCGAGGTGATGGTAGAGGGGAATATATTAACTCTTTTACACTTGACAAAAATGTGATTTGCTGCTTTACATTCAAAGAAAGAAGACTCAACCTTGGCTGTGACACATATCTAGTAGTGCTGAAGTCCCCAGTCTTTTAAGATGTCAAATGTGCTTCAAAAGTGATTCGTTATCTTCTTAATTCTCCATGGTGGAAAATAAAACTGCCAAGCTTGGTCAAGCTCCTGAATTTTATCATATCAATGAGAAAACTGCCTTGGAAAGCTCCCTTTGGTTGATGGGAACTATTTTGTTTGAGCAGATTTAGAGTCATAGGTTGACAACAGTATTCAGTGAGCTCCTTGTAGCCACACTGATGAACAATCCAAGGATGTTGGTTGGGTCAGTCTTAATTCCAGTGTCTGTAAAACTTATCTATATTAAAATGAAAAACTTTTTTGAATTAATAGACATATTTCTAGAGTATGCAAACCTTTGGTGACATTTTACTGTAGCTAAAGTAGTTTTTTTAAGTCAAGCTTTTAGTAACGCTCACAATGTTCATTATGTAGTTATTTAAGGAACAATGTTAAATCCTCTATTCACTCTCTGTTACCTTCTAAGACTTCTGAATAATTGCTTAACTAAAAGGAATTAAATATCTACAATTAAATCTGTTTGTTGTTTCAGGTTTGAAATATCTCCATTCAGCTGGCATTTTACATCGAGACATTAAGCCAGGGAATCTCCTTGTGAACAGCAACTGTGTTCTAAAGGTAGCTTTACAGTTTATTTAATGGTCTGAAAATTTCAGAATATCAAGGCAGGTTTTAAGAACAAGTTTTTGTGAAAGAAAATAGTTAAAATTTATTTCCCTTAGTTTCACAAAATTAAGAAAATCCAGTTTTCTCTAGTGTATCATCAGTAACTCTTATAGTCCTAACTCATGATTTCTTCATGATAATGTAGATATGTTTTGGAAACACTAAAATTGGAATTATATTGTGACTTGAAAAGAGAAAGTGACTTTTATTAAAGAAAAAAAAAAAAAAAAATATATATATATATATATATGTCAGAAGAAATATTGAAAGATCAGTAAGCTTCTACTTACATGCCAATAAAGTATGCCTTTTAGGAAGATAATCTGCATTTTTATGCAAGTAACATTCCCTAGCAAAACAGGGAAGCAGAAACGTGCTAAGTGCTAAGCCAGAAAAAGGTATGTGCACATCTTAAATTACTTTCACAAAATAGAGTAGCCAATCCTCAAGTATTCCTCTGCAGGGAAATTGATTAATTATAATTGTTGTTAAGTACCTTCGAGTTGGTTCTGACTGAAGAGCAGCTGTGGTTCAGACCAACCTTGCAGTCCAGTGCTTTATTCCACAGCACCACACAATAGCCCCAAAATCACATGTCATCAGTTTCAACTTTACTACCATCTTCCCACTGCCTTAGCCTTTTGTGAGAAGGACTCAAACACAACTCATATGTGTGCATTTCCCCACCTCTTTCTATTAGAAGTCTGTATAAGCAAACCTCCTAAAATAATGAAAGATTCAGCCTATTTCTCCCATCATTGAAATGAGAGATAAGGACCTTCCTAGACCTATGTTACCTCTGTATAACCAAATTTTAAATTCCACTTATTTCATGAGTTCTTATAATATGATGCTTCAGTCTGTAGCAGATGTTCTTAACATTTCAACTGATATATTTGAAAAGGAAAGAATTGTTTTTTAAATGTTGCCTACTCCTGCAAAGAGTTTTAAAAAAAAAAAAAAGCCTAGGAAACCCTGTACAGGTTCAACTGAATCAGAAACGACTCGGTGGCACTTAACGACAACAGCAACTTTAAAAGTAATCAAGAATGTCCTTATTGGATCAAAGACCTAAATGTAAAACCAAAAACTATAAAGATTATGGAAACAAAATTAAGGATATATATAAATAGAATACCAAACAAAAGGATTTTCCCAAAAGAGTAAAAGGAAAAAAATTTTTGGCTATGACATAAGATTATAATCTCTAAAATTTACAGAAATTTTCAACGACAAACAAATTTTAAAATGGGCAAAAGGCATGAACAGACCCTTCTCTAAAGAAGACACTCAGGTGGTTAATAGACACATCAAAAGATGCTCATTATCATTAGCTGTTAAATCCATCAGGTCAATTCTGATTCATAGTGACCTTACTAGGGTTTCTGAGGGTATAAATCTTTACAAGAGCAGAAGGACTCATTGTTCTCCTGCAGAGCGGCTGGTGGATTCAAACTATGGACCTGTGGTTAGTAAACCCAAGGTTTAACCCACTACGCCACTAGGACTCCTTCATTAGCCATTGTTGTTAAGTGCCATCAAGTCAGTTCCAATTCATAGTGACCCTGTTTAAGGTTTCTAAGGCTTTAAATCTTCAGAAGAGCAGAAAGTCTCATCTTTCTTCCATGGAGAGGCTGGTGGACTTGAACTGCTAACCTTATGGTTCACAGCCCAGTGCTTATAGAATGCAGCCATCGTGCTCCTTTATTAGCTATTGTTGTTGTTGCTAAGTACAGTCAAATCAGTTCTGACTCATGGGGACCCTATATAGAGTTTCTGAGGAGCAGCTGGTGAGTTTGAACCGTCCGTCTTGTGGTTCATTGCCCAGTGCTGATCCTATAGTGCCACACCAAGAGTCCTCATTAGCCATTGTTGTTAAGTGCTGTCAAGTCACTTCTGACTCATAGCCACTCTGTTTCCAAGGAGCAGCTGGTGGGTTTGAACCAGCAGCCTTGTGGTTCACATTCCAGTGCTGATCCTACAGCACCACACCATTAGCCGTTAGAGAGATACAAATCAAAACTAAAATAAGATACTATCTCACTCTGACAATAAAGACACTGATCAAAAAAGAGAGAACAAATTCTGGCCAGACTGAAACTCTTATACACTCCCGTCACATTGTAGGGTTGCAACCAGTGTCATGAAACTGTTGATTGTATGAACTATCAAAGTATGAGCCACTGATTGGAAAACTAATTTGCTATTCTAAGTTTCACCTAAAATCCTGGTGTGACTCTGTAGAATAAGCGAGTGATGAAAATTAAAGACTCTTGGAAACAATTAGTCCAATAGACTAATGAGCCATGTGAACTTTAGACTCCCCAACCCTGAGCCCAGAAGAACTAGATGGTGCTCAGCTACCACTACCAACTGCTCTGAAAGGGCTCACATTAGAAAGTCCTGCATAGAGTGGAAGAAAATGTGCACCCAAATTTAACATCATTTTAAAAAGATCAGGCTTATTAATCTAATAGAGACTTGTGGAGCTCCAAGACTATGGCTCTTGGTCAGCATTCAAGTCTGGAACTGAACTCACCCCCATGGCTCAGTTTTCAGCCAAGCAATAGGTCGGTGTATAGTGCGGGACAACAAAACTAGTTCAGTATGTCCACGATAGAATAATCAACCACTGGAGATCAAAAGGGAAACATTTACCCAGGGACAAAGTTCAGAAGGGCTAGGAAAAGAGGAATGGAAACAAACTAAGTAACTCAGGGAGGAAATGGAAAAAGTGATGTTACATTGAGAGGATTACAATCATTGAGATGAAATGAACTCTGATTTGTTGAATGTAAAACTGATGATCTGCTTTGTAAACCGTCACTTAATTCACAATAAAAAGTTGGGTTGGTTTTTTTTTTAAGTTGATGAGAGTATATATGTGTCATATACTTTAGACACACTATCAGGAAAGGACATTATGTCTGGTAAAGCAGTGGGTCAGTAGAAAACAAGACTATCTCTATAGTGAGTACAGCTCTGGACTCGAGCACAGGAACAACTGTGAGGATGGTGCAGTACTGGGCAGTGTTGGCCTTTACTATCGTGAAGACGTGTGTTTTCACTAATTCATCACCATATACACGTATACATTTATTTGTTATGACCAGGCAGATTAAAACAGAAAGAGGAGACTGCCAAAAATTAGAGGAAATTCTTATTTCTTTTACAATAGTGGTTTTCAAATTTTTGAAGCTTTTTCCCCCACAAAATCTTATATTAGCACCTTAAGTTAGAAAGCAGATCATTTGTAATTATAATACTGACTGGCAAAGAGAACACAGGGCTTGTGTGACTGAAGGTTAGGTGTCCATTACTATCTCATCTCATCTCGTCCTCAGGCCTCCCAGTGTTGGTGCTTTATCTTGGTTGCCCAATATCAGGAAGAGCTCAATTTCTTAAGCTTCTGGAGGCGTTTCTAACAGGTCTCCTTGCAATAACTTTAATTAAATAGAAATAGAATGTTATTCCTAGGTCTGCATAGAAATTAAACAGTATTTTTTACTTACATCTCAATATTCTAACAAACTGCCTAAAACAGAATTGTTGTTGTTATGTGCCGTGGAGTAGGTTCCAACTCATAGCGACCCTGTACAGGGTTTCCGAGGCTGTAAATCTTTACGGGAGCAGAAAGCCTCATCTTTCTCCCGCGGAACAACTGGTAGTTTCGAACTGCTGACCTTCAGGTTTGCAGCCAGATTCGTAACCACTACACTAGCAGAGCTCCTTAAAACAGAATAGTCACTCAATTAAACATTTAAGACATAAACTAATAGTATTGGTATTCTATAGTGTGTGGTGTTTTAATGTAACACATTTGAGTGTGAATAATTCATATTTTAAATAGATTTATACAGTTCACCCTTGAACAATGCAGGCTTTAGGGTCACCAGCCTCTCCACGTAGTGAAAAATCCAATTATGAAATCCCCCAAAACTTTACTACCAGCCTACTATTGACCAGAAGCCTTACCAATAACATAAACAGTTGATGAACACATGTTTTGCATGTTTTCTGTATTATATACTAGACTCACAGAACAGCTGTATTTTCAGTATGAGATAAAGTATTTTGCAAAGCGTGCAAGATTTTTGTGCCTGCTGACATAGCTATAGTGACAGCTTCATGAATTGCCTTTTCTTTTTAAGTAATGGTCCTTATGCTGGATTGCTTTACCTTGAAATGATGGGCAACTGCAAACCTCAATCTACAATGCATATCATGCAATTCAGCTTTTTCTTCTAATGTCATAACTTTTCTCTGATTCTTGGGAGCACTTCCAGCTTCACTAGTAGCACTTCATATGGGTCCCATGGCATTAGTCAAGGTTTATGGTATTCCACTGAACACAATGAAACAAACGGGAGAACCACGAGAGATCACTTTTTACTAAGATGCACAGTTTACTGGAGAGAGAAACTGTTCACTCAAGATGATTAGTGTTACACAGCATTTTTTTTTTTTTTTTAAATCTGCATTTAAGTGGCCCCACACAGTTCAAACCCATGTTGTTCAAGGGCCAACTGTACATGTGAGGTTTGAATTGTTTGTGGAACCCCTGAAATAACTTCCCAGACCTTGAGTCAGCAGGACTTAATTTGAACCCCACAGTTTTAAAGACATTTTACTTCTAGTATTCCATAAACAATATAGGAATAGTCTATGCTCAGGAAGTCTTCAAGATATACTGTTCTTACCTTATCTTGTCTTATAAGCCATCCTTGAAAACCAGAGGCCTTGGGTGTTTTTACCTTAAACCTAGGAATATGCATCAGTCTTTGTTTTTGTTTTGTTTAGTTAATCAGTTGAAACAGATTAAGGATTAGAAGGATAGTTTTAAGAAACAGAGAAGTTTGGAGACTTTTCTTCCTTCTCCAAATAAGTTCAGATTGTATATTGACACTAATAATTATCATTGAAAACTTTTCAAAGTTCAGAGGTCTAGTAATGTTTTGGTTGGGGGTGGTGGTTTTATTTTTTATTGCATTTGTGAATGTCTTTCTTTGAAGATATTTTTATCATGTTTTCTATTTAGATTTGTGATTTTGGATTGGCCAGAGTGGAAGAATTAGATGAATCCCGTCATATGACTCAGGAAGTTGTTACTCAGTATTATCGGGCTCCGGAAATCCTGATGGGCAGTCGTCATTACAGCAATGCTATTGACATCTGGTCTGTCGGCTGTATCTTTGCAGAACTACTAGGACGAAGGATCCTGTTTCAGGCGCAGAGTCCCATTCAGCAGGTATAATTTCACTTTAGTTTTTAGTAATTGTCAATTCTATTACAGATTTGAAGGAACAACCCATCTCACACACGTCTTAGGCTTCATTGTACTGTCTAATTTGCTTTTAGCAAATTCAAGTTCACTTAAAATTCAGAGTGTTAGGAAGTTAAAGATTACAGAGAGCTTCATTTTGTAACTTACAAGCATATTAGAATGTTGACTTTTATTACATGCACTGATGCATAACACCAGACTCCTGTAACAATTTGCCCAAGTATAATCTTCAGTTGTTAGAGGGCCTGTGTTCTTTCTAATAGAATGATTCTGAGTTGAAAATGTGTTTGGTGATTTGATGTACTTTGTGCTTAAAATATAAGTTTTGAGTGCTGAGTTTTAAAAATTTGAACATTTAGAAAATATTTTAGGCCTTTTTTATTGAGCAAACATATTTAAATATGATGGAGAAGCTGATTAAAATGTAGTTTTAGGAAAGTGTTTGTGATACTTAGCCTTTACAACTAATTCATGAATGCATCCGTTTTCTTGGAAGCACTCCTAAGTATTTCTTACTCATAAGTTTAACAATATTACATGCATAAGAATAATGTAATGAAGAGGAGCTCAATCTGTGGAATCATACTGGCGGGTTCAAATCCTAGCTCTGCCACTTATTAGCTAAGAATCTTAGGTTACTTAACCTCTCTGTTCTTTGTTGTTTCTGGTCTCGAACTATTTTGAGGATTCTTGTGTAGATTAAATGAAAGCTGAAAATAAGGCCTATTACAGTAAGTAGTTGATGAGTACCAGCAGTTATGATGGTGATGGTGTGCCAAGTGGATGTTAGGGATAGATCTGTAAATAAGGTAAAGTTCACTCCTGCCTTATTGAAACTTACATGAGACAGAAAATGAGCGTATATACAAATAAATATAGTCCCAGCTCATGATAAATCTACCAAAAAAAAAATTAAACCAAGTTTGGGGTAGAGAATGATGGTTAAGCAGATGGTTGAGTTGAGCAGTACAGGATTTTTGAGAACATGATATTTGAGGAGTAACTCATGTGAAATGAGGAAGCAGCCCAAGGTGTTGGGGGAAATGTTCAGATAGAGGGACACCCAGCATAACACCTCTGAGGCAGGTACAGTCTTAACACCTCAGCAAGTCCGAGGCTTGACCAGGTTTGACCTGAGAAGGACATTGGATTTTATTCTAAGTGGGATGGAGTGTGATATGAAGGTTTCTGAGGGGAGCATTAAGATGTAAATATACTTAAAAGGTGTTACACTGACTACTGTGTATCTTTGTAAATAACCCATGCACTTGACCAGAAATGGAAGCATTTCTTTCATATTTTTTCTACAGATTGTCAAGTAATATGTGAGAATCTATATGTTTATTCCTCTGCTATGTATTTTTTTACACATAAAATTGATTTTAAGTAGGAGTTGACTAGATGATTAAGGTGGCACCTAGCCACAAGAATGAATTCAGGGAGCTCCTGGGGGTTGCTAAACAAAAGATTAGAGGTTTGAGTCCACTCAGAGACCTCTAAGAAGACAGGCCTACTGATCTACTTCCGAAAAGTTGGCCACTGAAAACCCTGTAAGCACAATTCTACTCTGACACACGCGACGTTGCTGCCATGAGTTGGATCAGCCTGACAGCAGCTGCTTGGTTTTTTTTGATGTTGTTGTTGTTTACGTTTTTAAAATGGATCCTAGTGATACAAAATTACCAGGTGTGTGTAATATATAATCTAAATTTGAGTACCATATTCACTTTTTATTAAGGAGCTCTGGCAGCATCTCAAAACTACCAACAGTTCAAACCTACCAGCAGTTCCATGGGAGAAAGATGAAGCTTTCTGCTCCTGTAAAGATTTATGGCCTCGGAAACCTTATTACAGGGTCTCTCACCATGAGTCAGACTCTACTCCACAGCACATAACCACTACCACCATTCATTTTATTGTTGAATTTCTTTAAAACTTTAAAATTATTCCTTAAAAATCTTATTTTAGAGGCTGCTTAGAGCAATCAAGTTGCAATATACATAAAGTCCTTAGTTCAACCAAAGGCCTGTTTTTACTAATGGTTAGTAATGTGTCTAAAACCAGTCTGAGAGATTATAGTATATTATATATTTCTGTGTGAACATGTGGTTTCCACCACTCATCTGTCAGTTTGTCATACTGTGGTGGCTTGTATGTTGCTGTGATTCTGGAAGCTATGACATGGGTATTTTAAATACCACCAGGGTCACCTATCATGGACAAGTTTCAGCTGAGCTTCCAGACTAAGACAGACTAGAAAGAAGAAGAGACGGACTATTTAGTCACTGAAAATCTTATGAATATCAGTGGAACACTGTCAGCGCCAGAATACTGAATATTGAAACATGATGAAGAGCACCAGAATATTGTCAGATATAGTGTCAGAAAATAAGACCCTCACGTTGGAAGGCACTCAAAATACAACTGGGGAAGAGCTGCCTCCTCAAAGTAGTTAACCTTGATGACACAAATGGATTAAAGCTTTGGGACCTTCATTTGCTAATTGGGTACAACTCAAAGTGAGGAGAAACAGCTGTAAACATACATTATTAGTAATCAGAACATAGATTATATGAACTGTGAATGTATGAAAATTGGAAGTTGTCAAAAATGAAAAGGAATGCATAAACATTGATATCCTAGGCATTAATGAGCTAAAATGGGCTGCTGTTAGCCATCTTGAATCTGATCATCACATGGTTTACTATGCCAGGAATGACAAATTGAAGAGAAGTGGCATCATATTCATCATCAAAAGGAAGACTTCAAGATTTATCTTGAAGTACAACGCTGTCTGTGATAGGATAATTAATATAAGTCTGCAAGGAAGACTAGTTCATCACGATTATTCAATTTTATGCTGATGAAGATCAAAGACCACAACCTTCAGTACAAATTTCACCTTAATGTAAAGAAAACAAAAATGCTTACTACAGAACCAATAAATAACACCATAGTAGAAAAAAGACTGATGTTATCAAAGACTCCATTTTGTTTGGATCAACCATCAACACTCACGGAAGCAGCAGTCAAGAAATGAAACGATGTGTATTGCATTAGGAAAATGTATTGCACACGACTTCTTTAAAGTATTCAAAAACAAATCTGTAAATTTGAAGACTAAGGTGCCCTTGACCCAACTATGGTATTTTTAATAGCCTCATATGCATGTAAAAATTGGACAATAAGGAAGACCATAAAAGAATTGATGTATTTGATAATTATGGTGTTGGATGGGTATATAGAAAGTACCATGGACTTTCAGAAGATCAAACCAATCTGTGTTGCAAGAAGTACAGCCAGAGTGCTCCTTAGAATCCAGGATGGCTAGACTTTGTTTCTCATACTTTGGCCATATTATCAGGAGGGACCAGTCCCTGAAGAAGGACATAATGCACAATAATAACATATGTGCTTTTAAGAGAGTACTATTGTTAAGTGCCGTCGACCCTGTTTCCAAGGCTGTGCATCTTGACGGAAGCAGAAAGTCTCATCTTTCTCCCACTGACCCTGTGGTTTACAGTCCAGTGCTTATTGTACAGAGCCACTATGTTCCCCTTAAAAGAATATACTATATTCAAAATGGAGAAAATAGAGTTCACCTGACATTTAATTATCCATAAGGCAATCAGACCTGGGTCATAAGTTCTCATACAATGAATGTCACTATTCTCTTACATAGGGAGCTCTGGTGGCGCACTGGTTAAGCACTCAGCCATCCACAGGAAAGGTGTGGCAATCTACTACTCCTAGTATGACTAGAATGTAAAGGGCCCAACATTGAGACCTTAGCTTTCATTTCAGGTGTGAATGTGAGTATTTATTAAATCACAGCTGCTTGATTTATTGGATTAGCTCCTTGGTTAGCTTAAATTCATGTGGAGTATCAGAATCCGTTCATGAACTGTTTGAAAAGAGTGATTAGCCATCAAAAGAGCAGTTCGACTCTGCAAGATTTTGCTATGAGACTATGATACCAAGACATGGGGCTGGAATATACATGCTCCTGGTATGGCACTATAGGATAAGCACTGGACTGCTAACCACAAGGTCAGTGGTCCAAATCTGCTCCTCAGAAACCCTAGACAGGGTCACTATGAATCAGAACCTACTTGACAGCATTTTACTGTAGTCTAAGAATGCCATGCTTGCTCAAACATGTATCAGGTGGAATTCTTTTTTTTTTCCCCATAGGCCAGAAAGTGAAATGGTGGTGGTTGTTATGTGCCATGGAGTCAATTCCAACTCTTGGCAACCCTGTACATGGTTTACGAGGCTGTAAATCTTTATGGGAGTAGAAAGCCTCATCTTTCTCTTGTGGAACAGCTGGTAGTTTCAAACTGCTGACCTTGTGGTTTGCAGCCCAATTCATAACCAACTGTGCTACCACAGCTTCTTAGAAAGTGAAATAGAGGCTCCTTTTTGCTAATATGGAACTTGCCCTAAGTTTATTTCACCAATGTGGTCTTTGTCTCTAAGGTTCTGATTTAAGAGTAATGAAAGTTTGTTTCCATGAGATTACTATCCATATGCATTTCATGTTTCCTTGTAGTTGGATTTGATCACGGATCTGTTGGGCACACCGTCACTGGAAGCAATGAGGACGGCTTGTGAAGGCGCTAAGGCACACATACTCAGGGGTCCTCATAAACAGGTAAGGAGACAGGGCACCTATGTCTGATAACCACTTGGGCAGGATTTCCCTTCATAGAGTAAAGTGTTGAGGATTTTAAAACAAGATATTACTTTGATATGTTTTAAAGTCATGACTACATATAAGAAAATCTTAAATATTTGTCAAATCAAATGCAATATATTCTGCTCTTTGCAGAAAGCATAGATGATGGGGTCTATGTAGGAAACTTCATCTGGGTTTGGTAGTCCATTGCAGTGACCACACAGAACTCTTGACACATACTTACAAGTTATGGGGTTTATTACGGAAGTTAACAAGTTATAATTCAGGGTTAGGAATGCTCAAAGCACAGCTGTAAAGTAACAGTCAGAACAGACTTACCTCAGTCTTGCGCACAGGTAGGCCTCTCACTGGGCAATATTACATAGCTCTTTTAGCGCTGCTGACAGATGCCCACAGGACACACCATATAAGTCTTAGCCTGCAGACACTCAGCTCTAGCTCAATGGGTCAGCAAAAATAGCCCCTCCAGTTAAGTCTCTGGAGGCACCCAACTCTGCAAGAAGCTTCCTGCCCATAGTCACTGAGCTTTCCTTGCTCCATAGACTGGGAAGCTCACTGCTCTGCCTTGTGCTCTGGGTCTTGGTTCTGCTGCTGCTGCTCTTCTGCCATTTCTGTGGTATCACAGTTTTCTATTCCCACGTCAAAGAGGTTTAGTACATGGATCTCTGGGTCCAAAGCATGAGCTCCACTCATGACTCTTCTTCTTTGATGGTAGTAAGATCCCCCATTCCTGCTTCTGAGAGAACTCATTTTAAACACATTAGAGTTTCAGGTTTTTTAATCTGTTAATTGTAAACATCTAGGAATTTCAGTTAACTAAAAAAATAGTATCATATTACTTTTCTGAAATGAAACCTAGTTGAAAGGTTGAGGTGTCTCTTGTGCATTTATAATCTCCCTCAGTGCCCCTTAGAATTTCACATTTTGCTTGATTGTCAGTAAGTGTAGAGGGGCATCACAGGAAAGGGTATGGGCAGCCCTGGCTAGTGTTGTTATTGGTATGTTTTGATTTTTGACAAGAAGAGTGATGGAATAAAAACTAGTTGAGTATTTTATTTTTATTAAAAACTAATCAACTTCTTTTGAGTCGATTCTGACTCAGGCAACCCTGTAGGACAGTTTAGAACTGTCCCATAGAGTTTCCAACATTGTAGTCTTCATGAAAGGAAACTACCACATCATTTTCCTGAGAAGCAACTGGTGAATTCAAACCACCAGCCTTTCAGTTAGCATCTGTGTGCTTAACTAGTGAACCATCAAACCCACAGCTATCCAGTGATCCATTTCTGAAACTGTAAATCTTAATGGGAGCAGACAACCTCATTTTTCTCCCACAGAGTGGTTCATGGGTTTGAAATTCCAACCTTGCAGTTAGTAGCTAAGACCTAGCCTCCAGAGCCTCCAGAACTTCTTAATGACCATTTTTTTGTTCAAAGCCAGATATTCATAGCACGGACTTTAAAGGCCACCTTAATCTTTAGCCTGCTTTTAAACCAGTATAGGAGGTGGTCTTCTTAAATTTTCATGATCACTGAACACTAACCCAAGTAAATTTGTATATAGTTATTCCTACCATCCACCACTCGTCTGTCAATTTGTCATACTGTGGTGGCTTGCGTGCTGCTGTGATTCTGGAAGCTATGCCACAGGTATTTTAAATAACAGCAGGTTCATCCATGGTGGACAGGTTTCAACTGAGTTTCCAGACGAAGACAGACTAGGAAGGAAGAATGGTAGACTACTTTTAAACGTTTAGTCACTGAAAACTTTATGAATAGCAGTGAAACAGTGTCAGCACCAGAATAGTAGATATTGAAACATGATAAAGAGCTCCAGAATATTGTCACATACGGTGCTGGAAGATGAGCCCCTTAGGTAGGAATGCACTCAAAATACAACTGGGGAAGAGCTGCCTCCTCAAAGTACAGTTGGTGGTGATGATGCGAATGGAGTTACGCTTTCAGGACCTTTATTTGCTGATGGGGCACAACTCAAAATGAAGAGAAACAGCTGTAAACAGAACATGGAATGTACAAAGTGTGAATCTAGGGAAATTGGAAATTGTCAAAAGTGAAATGGAATGCATAAACATCAGTATCCTAGGCATTAGCAAGCTGAAATGGACTGCTATTGACCATTTTGAATTTCACAATCACATAGTTTACTATGCCTGGAATAACAAATTGAGGAGAAATGGCATCACATTCATCATCAAATAGAATAGATCTTGAAGTACAACACTCTCTGTGATAGGATAATATACATAAGTCTACAGGGAGACCAGTTAATACCACTATCATTCAAATTTATGCACCCACCACTAAAGCTAGTGATGATGAAATTGAAGAATTATTTCAACTTCTTTAGTTCAAAATTGATCAAACATGTAATCAAGAAGTGTTAATAATTACCGGCAATTGGAATGCAAAGGTTGGAAACAAAGAGGAAAGATCAGAGGTTGGAAAATATGGCCTTGGTGATAGAAATGATGCTGGAGATTGCATGATAGAATTTTGCAAGAACAATGACTTCCGCATTGCAAATACCTTCATTAAACAACATAAAAGTCAAATATACACATGAACCTCACCAGATGGAATACACAAAAATCAAATTGACTGCATCTGTGGAAAGAGACAGTGTAAAAGCTTCATATCATCAACCAAAACAAGGCCAGGGGCAGACTGTAGATCAGACCATCAATTGCTCATATGCAAGTTCAGGCTGAAGCTGAAGAAAATGAAAACAAGTCCATGAGAGCCAAAACATGACCTTGAATATACCCCACCTAAATTTAGAGATAAATCTGAAGAACAATTTGATTCATTAGACACTAAAGATCAAAGACCATTAGAGTTGTGGGATGGCATCAAGAACATCATAAAGGAAGAAAGCAAAAGGTCATTAAGAAGACAAGAAAGAAGGAAAAGACCAAAATGGATGTCATAAGACACTGAAACTTGCTCTCCTCTGTATAGAGATGCTAAAGCAAATGGAAGAAGTGAGGAGGTACAACAGCTGAAAAGAGAATTTCCAAGGTCAGTTTGAGAAGACAAAGTCAAATATAATGAAATGTGCAAAGACCTGGTGTTAGAACACCAAAAGGGAAGAACACACTCAGCATACTCCTTCCTTTTTGCTACATATTCCAATCACCAGTAATTATCAATACAGTTCATCACACTGGGGTTAGTCAGTGCATAAATTTGATTAATGGTATTACTCATCTTCCTTGTAGACTAATGGATATTATGAGTATTATCCTATCACAGACAGCTTTGCGCTTCGAGGTAGATCTTGAAATGTCCTTTTTGACTATGAATGCGACACCATGCCTCCTCAATTTGTAGTACCCAGCCCTATGATTGTCAGATTCAAAATAGCCAGTCCATTTCAGCTCACTAATACCTAAGATATTGATCTTTATGCATTCCATTTCATTTTTTGACAGCTTCTAATTTTCATAAATTCCATGTTCTGATTATTAATGGATGTTTGCAGCTATTTCACCTCATTTTGAGTTGTACCCCATCAGCAAATGAAGGTCCCAACAGCTGTACATTGTTCAGCTGCTATTCATAAGGTTTTCAATGATAGTTCATCTCTCCTTCTTCCTAGTCTTAGTCTGGAAGCTCTGCTGGAAACCTCTCCACCCTGGGTGACCCTGCTAGTATTTAAAATACAAGTGGCAAAGCTTCCAACATCACAGTAACACACAAGACACTATAGTACAACAGACTGACAGATGAGTGGGAGATCAGTTCTAGGATAGCTTTACTTCCTCTTATAAAGTTTTCCTTTGTAATATGTTAAAGAGCTCATTAAAAAAAAAAAAAATACATGTTTAAATGGGGTTTATCCCAAGAATACAAGATTGATTCACCAACAAAAATCTATTTTAAATAAATTTTGACATTTTTAATGAGAAAGTCATGCTTATCTCAATCAATACAGTCCTTTACATAAATATTCTTTGAAAATCATATAGAAAAACTGTATTAATTCCTCTTAAGGTTATAAACAAGGCAGAATGAGATGTATAACACAGTATTTGTATTTACACAAAATAAAAATACATGCACACAGGAAAGAACCTCTAATTTTTAGAAAAGACCCCCCAGAAATCCTGTGTGAAGTGTTTAGGTTAATTGGAGGTCTACATAGGGCACTTAACAACAACAACAACAACATAGGGCAAGCTATATCTTACTATATTTATTCTAAGTTACCTAATATAGGAATTTTAGATGAATCATATTTAAACTCAAGAGGAATACTTATAAAAATTCAACATAGTTCTTCTCTTTGTAGCCCAACTAAAAAACTTACGCTTTTTTCACATAGTCCCATTTATGTAGCTACTCATAGTTGGAAATAGTCTCTATTAATAGCAATAATTATGAGTTTGCAATGTACAAGGTATTATCCTAAGCACTTCTTATATATTAATGCATTGAATCCTCACACCAACCCCCTTATGACCCATTATTGTTCCTTTTTATAGATGGGAGATTAAAGTGGTTAAATAACATGCTTAAGATCATCAGCCCAATTTCAGCTCCACAAACTTATGTTCATAGTCCATACTCTGCTCTGCCTGGCACCACCAGATTGTACTTTCATTGTTTTAATTTAATTTTATTTTATTTTATGTATTTTCCAGTAATATGTGGTATATTAGGACATATGAAATTAAAATTTTACAGATAGAGCTAACTACCATACCTTCCAGTTCCAGTCTCTTCTGAATTCATTTAAACATCTCTTTCCAGGCATATTTTTCTATGCATTTATTTACATTCACTTCCTCTGATATTTGTACAAACATAAAGATGTATTATTTGTTGGGACTTTTAAAAAAATACACGTGTACGTACACAGAAGGAGAATTTAATTTACTGTTTCCTTAAAGTCATAGATTACTGTCTGAAATTAACTTACTTGTGTTGGTTGCT